TTTCAAACAGATCAGATGATAACTGTTGTCATTAGAGCGTTCACAACATTCAACAAAGTGAAACAAGGGCCATAACTCTAAATGTAATTAACAGAAATTGCTGAAATTCAATAGGCTTCTTCATTTCACTAATTTAAATGATGCATATCAATTTCAAACAGATCGGATGATAACTGTTGTCATTAGAGCGTTCACAACATTCAACAATGTGAAACAAGGGCCATAACTCTAAATGTAATTAACGGAAATCGCTGAAATTCAATAGGCTTCTTTGTTTTACTAATTTAAATGATGCATATAAATTTCATACCGATCGGTTGATAACTTTTGTCGTTAGAGCGTTAACAAGGTGCAACAAAGAGAGAAAAAAGGGCCATAACTCACGGCGTGATTAACGTAAATTGCTGAAATTCAATAGGCTTCTTCATTTCACTAATTTAAATGATGCATATCAATTTCAAACAGATCAGATGATAACTGTTGTCATTAGAGCGTTCACAACATTCAACAAAGTGAAACAAGGGCCATAACTCTAAATGTAATTAACAGAAATTGCTGAAATTCAATAGGCTTCTTTGTTTTACTAATTTAAATAATGCATATAAATTTCATACAGATCAGTTGATAACTTTAGTCGTTAGAGCGTTCATAAGGTGCAACAAAGTGAAACAAGGGCCATAACTCCAGAAGAAATTAACGGAAGTTATTGAAATTAAATAGGCTTCTTCATCTCACTAATGCAAACGACATATATCAATCGGTTGATAAATGTAGTCTGTAGAGTGTTCACAAGAAATTGTGGACGATGGACGGACAGTTGGACTGACGGACGGGGGCGACGTATAAAAATGAAAAATTGGCGTAAAAAAAATGAAACTCAGAGTGAGCACTGTGAAGGACAACCATTTTGTCTGTCAGTTTTGTTCCGATTTTCATGAAATTCTAACTCAATGAAAATTACGGTGTAGCAGTGATATATTTGAACGTTTTTCTAAATCGGATAATAAATGTGACATCTAGAGTGACCTCAAGCTAAAATCGCGGTTTTGCGTACAATCAGGGGCCATAATTCCGGAAGTTACGGTCTGATATGTGCGAATATCGAAAGGAACCGAGATCTTTGGGTTATAAACTTACATTTTAAGTTTCATCAAAATCAGAAGAAAATTGTGACCTCTAGAGGTTCCACAACCTTGATATATCATATTTTTACGATATTTGAGAACGAGGGACAGCCATTTTGTCTGTCAGTTTTGGTCCGAGTTTCACGAAATTGAAATCAACCTAATGCTCATCTTCGAACTCCATCAAGGCATTCACCTAATAAACACATACACCAAGTTTGAACATTCTAGCTCAATTAGAATGAGTTATTGTGTTCCAAAGTCTCGACCAATCAAATTGCTTATCGCTCAACTTACCCTGAGCAGAAAATGCTCATTATCGAACTTGGTCAAGGTATTGATGTAATAAAACTATACACCAAGGTTCATCACTCTCACTAAATTAGAACTAAAGTTATTGTGTACCAAAGCATCAGCCAATCAAATTGCTTATCCTAAGCAGAAAATGCTCATCTTCGAACTCCATCAAGGCATTCGCCTAATAAAGACCTACGCCAAGTGTGAACATTCTAGCTCAATTAGAATGAGAGTTATTGTGTTCCAAAGTCTTGACCATTCCAATTGCTTATCGCTCAACTTTACCCTGAGTAGAAAATGCTCATTATCGAACTTAGTCAAGGTATTGATGTAATAAAACTATACACCAAGTTTCATCACTCTCACTTAATGATCACTAAAGTTATCGTGTCACAAAGCATCAACCAATCAAATTGCTTATCTCTGCTTACCCTAAGCAGAAAATGCTCATCTTTGAACTCCATCAAGGCATCAACCTAATAAACACCTATGCCAAGTGTGAACATTCTTATAGCTCAATTAGAATGAGAGTTATTGTGTTCCAAAGTCTCGACCATTCCAATTGCTTATCGCTCAACTTTACCCTGAGTAGAAAATGCTCATTATCGAACTTAGTCAAGGTATTGATGTAATAAAACAATACACCAAGTTTCATCACTCTCACTTAATTAGCACTAAAGTTACCGTGTCACAAAGCATCAACCAATCAAATTGCTCATCTCTGCTTACCCTAAGCAGAAAATGCTCATCTTTGAACTCCATCAAGGCATCGACCTAATAAACACCTATGCCAAGTGTGAACATTCTTATAGCTCAATTAGAATGAGAGTTATTGTGTTCCAAAGTCTCGACCATTCCAATTGCTTATCGCTCAACTTTACCCTGAGTAGAAAATGCTCATTATCGAACTTAGTCAAGGTATTGATGTAATAAAACAATACACCAAGTTTCATCACTTTCACTTAATTAGCACTAAAGTTACCGTGTCACAAAGCATCAACCAATCAAATTGCTCATCTCTGCTTACCCTAAGCAGAAAATGCTCATCTTTGAACTCCATCAAGGCATCGACCTAATAAACACCTATGCCAAGTGTGAACATTCTTATAGCTCAATTAGAATGAGAGTTATTGTGTTCCAAAATCTCGACCAATCAAATTGCTTATCGCTCAATTTACCCTGAGCAGAAAATGCTCATTATCGAACTTAGTCAAGGTATTGATGTAATAAAACTATCCACCAAGTTTCATCACTCTCACTAAATTAGAACTAAAGTTATCATGTCCCAAAGCATCAGTCAATCAAATTGCTTATCCCTGCTTACCCTAAGCAGAAAATGCTCATCTTCGAACTCCATCAAGGCATTCACCTAATAAACACCTAAGCCAAGTGTGAACATTCTAGCTCAATTAGAATGAGAGTTATTGTGTTCCAAAGTCTCGACCATTCCAATTGCTTATTGCTCAACTTAACCTGAGCAAAAAATGCTCATTATCGAGCTTAGTCAAGGTAATGATGTAATAAAACTATATACCAAGTTTCATCACTCTCACTTAATTAGAACTAAAGTTATCGTGTCACAAAGCAGCAACCAATCAAATTGCTTATCTCTGCTTACTCTAAACAGAAAATGCTCATCTTTGAACTCCATCAAGGCATTGACCTTGACCTAATAAACAACTACACCAAGCTCAATTGGAAGGAGAGTTATTGTGTCCCAAAAAGTGTGACGGACAGACAGACAGACCCATTTTAATAGTCCCCTGCTTTCTTCGAAAGTTGGGGGACAATAAAGTGAAACAAGGGCCATAACTCTAGACGTAATGAACGGAAATTGCTGAATTTCAATAGGCTTCTTCGTTTTACTAATTTATATAATGCATATAAATTTCAGAAAGATTGGATGAGCGTTCATAAGGTTCAATAAAGTGAAACAAGGGACATAACTCTAGACATAATAAACAGAAATTATTGAAATTAAATGGGCTTCTTCATTTCACTAATTTAAATAATGCATATAAATTTCACAAAAATCGGATGATAACTTTTGGCGTAATAGCGTTCACAAGGTTCAACAAAGTGAAACAAGGGCCATAACTCTAGGCATAATAAACAGAAATTATTGAAATTAAATAGAATTCTTCATCTCACTAATGTTAACCACATACAGTAGAACTTGTATTAAGCAAGCACCCAAGGGAAATTTAAAAATGCTTCCTTAATGGAGGTGCTCTTTGACTAGAGGTATCCAATATTGCCCCAATCCCTACCGCAAAAAATAAAGATATAGATTGCATATATTTGTTTATTCATGTAGTATAACAATAACAATACATGTACTTTTTATCTAGTTGTGAATTCAAAGTAGTCGCGTATTGTGCCTTTCTTTTCAGAATGCCGTGAATTTGAGTATTTCCCACCCCAACTATTTTAGCGATTACGCAACCACTTTTACCTTCATTTGATAACTGTATCCCTTTGACATGTTCTTCAAGTGTCAAAACTTTTCAAGTAGGTGTAAGAACTTTACGAGGCATAGTAATATTAGACATATTGATAAACAATGTCTTATCAATGTTGTTTATTACAGATTTAACAAATTTAACATCCAAAATACCATGAATATGATATTAAGGACAGGTTGATTTAATTAAATTATTTACACTTGAAAATTGTTAAAAAATTATCAATTCAGACTCTTTCTTATATATCATCATTGGCTTGGATATTAATTAATGGTTAAAATTATCAGCTTGGGGTGTGAGTAAACTTGTTAATTAGTGATAGTTACATGTAGTTCAAGCCAGGCGAGTAAATCATGTCAAGATTAGTGACAGTTCAGTCTTGTTCGCTCAAGAGAGAACGTGATTTTCCGAGATTCACTATGATGTGCTCGCTTAATGGATGAAATAGCATGATCTGGGGCGAATATAGATGCCCGTTTCACCAGTTGAACAGGTGTGTGTTTAGTGGGGGTTAAATTACTTAAAAATCGCTCGGGGGATTTTTTGGTGCTCGTTGAAGGAAGTGTTCGCTGATTAGGAGTGCAAGTCCGAGCAAGTTCTACTGTACTGTATATCAATTTTAAAACAATCGGATAGTAACTTTTGTTGTTAGCGCGTTCACTACAACTGACAGACAAGGTTCAACAGAGTGAATCAAGGCCCATAACTCTAGACGTAATAAACAGAAACTAATGAAATTAAATAGGATTCTTCATCTCACTAATGTTAACCACATATATCAATTTTAAAACAATCGGATAATAACTTTTGGAGTTAGCACGTTCACAAGAAATTGTTGACAACGGATGGAGGGACGGACAGGGGCGACGGCAATAAACATCCACATTTCCATGTTGGGGGTATAAAAATCATGAAATATGACTTTTTTTTTTCAAAGTTTTCGTGCATTATGAAAAATGATTGACAGTGAAAATTTTGAAGTGGAAGTCCTGATTCAGACACACCTGAAAAATTCTGAACAAAAATTTAACTCAAACTGAATTAATTATCTTCTAAGATTTTTAAACTTATTAATATATTGTACGTGAATATATAAATATAGTTTAAATCTTACCTCCCTCATCTTCACTGCCACTAAATGTTGAATTTACAGCTTCTACTGACATATTTTCTTACACTGATGCTTTCTGTTTGGACATTGGTCAATAACCAGATAAAATCTACAACATAACTCTCTCCAGTTCAGCTGTGTTTAAAATCAGTTTCTTATTTATTCCAGTTGGTGAGAAATGAAGAGCTCAATTTGTCTTATTAATAGGTAATTTCCTGTAATACACAAACACATCATGTAAAGTAAAATGTGGATAGAACTGCATAAACAAAATACATTTGAATTCGTCCGCCATTATGAAACTCGCATTTGCACAGACCACAAGTCACAGGTTTGTGGCTAAATTGAACAGGCCAACAGTGAGGCTGATATATATATGTCCCTCGCCGATAGATAACACATATTAATTAATCACAGATTTTTTTTTTTCAAAAGTATCAAGCAATCAAACTGATTATCAACTGTACACTAAGTTTCATCACTCTCTATCAGATAGAATTAAAGTTATCTTGTCCCAAAAGCATTGACCAATGAAATTGCTTAGCTCTGCTTAGCATTAGCTCGAAATGTTAATGATTGAATTCAGTCAATGCATTCACCTAATGAACATCTACATTGTACATCAAGTTTAAACATTCTACCTCAATTAAAAGCAGAGTTGTTATGTTCCAAAGTCTTGACCAATCAAATTTCTTATCATTCCTTATCCTAAGCAGAAAATTCTCATCATCGAACTTAGTCAAGAGAATGATATAATGAATCTATACTCACAGTTTCATCACTCTCACTTAATTATTGTCGGTGAATTAGACATTATTGTATTTTTTATTGTTCGTTTTCAGTCGTCTCCGGTTGCTGCCGGTACTGTTGCTCTGTAGCGTTTGAAAAACCAATCTTGCCCCAAAGTTATAGTCGCGAATGTCACGATTACAAATTCTATATAATTAGAAAAGACCTGATAAATGAGTTGTTGTAAAGTGTCAGCAATTAAATACAGTCCTAAAAATCCACATGTTGTTTTCCAAATGAACCATCCATCCTTAGATTTTGAGTCGCCAATATAATATCCTACATGGTCCGACGAGACAGATAGATTCTAATGTAACTTACGGAACAATCCAAAGAAATCCACGTAACTTTGTAAGTTTCGTCTACTTTTGACTTTGCTGAACAACCCAAACAAACTAGTACGAAATGTCAACTGCCGACACACAGACAGAGCCACAAATGGATTCGACAAACAAACCAAATATCACAGCCACACAAAGAAGGATTTTAAAACAACGATCGGGTTATCGTTTATCTGTGAATAATTCCTTGTCGAAAGCAGATCGGTTGTTGAGTATCCCTATTCAAGCCAGATGAGATTTCCGAACATGTCATTAATTTATTCCAAACCAAACAAGCCTTAGACAGTAAATTACAGACATACATGTATATGAATTTCGGTGATCCCACACTTGCATCGGTCTCATGCCTTAGCCAGTCAATCCACATAAATTTACCCAAACTAGACTTAAAGAAGTTTCGAGGAGATCCATCCAAGTGGCAGACATTCTGGGATTCATTTAGTACAGCCATCCATCATAATGACAATCTTTCAGATCAGTGATGGGATTTGCCCGTATATTCCGGACTTGTCCAAATCTTTTTTCCAAACGCCCAAAATTGTCCGACCTGGAATATGCCCAATCGGACATCAAGACATGGTAAATAATATTCAAAATTCAGAAATTAATATAGTTTACTGAGTGTATAACTACCACTCAACCTGATTATCGTCGATAATACGCTGGATTGATTAGGTAATTAAGTGATCAACGTATTTATCATGTTATACCGTCTATAAACCTACCTTGATTAACTACTTAATCTGCCTTGATTGACTGACATAATCCTTTGTCGGACAATTCATCAATCTAATCTTAAACAGAAGCCATTGTTTCCCCTTTTTCGGACTATTCATCAATCCATTATAATTTTAATCTTTGTGAACCTTGTGGTTTCTGCATTAACGGACATTTTAATCGCATTGATGTGAGCCGACAATATGTATAAACTAATCATAGAAGTCACATATTGTAAGAGTATATAACGCCCAGATCAATAGACAGTCATTATAATTCGTCTGCGATATCACTTTGGTGGAAGCGAGCGTTAAATAAAGCTATTTCACACACACACATATCACACACAGCACTCGGGAAACCTCGGCAGATTCCGTTACTCTACATCTAGCTTCGGCTGTACAGTGTATGACGGTAAGTGATATGTACCTACGAACTTGCCGGTTTTAGAAAGAAGTTATCAAAATTGCGTCGTTCGAAGCGTGTTTTGAATTTTCAGAGCAAAGTTGTCCTTGTTTGAAGAAAATCTGATTAAACTTGAAAGAAAAACAGCTTCAGACAGTTAAAGTACGATAACTGAACCGGTATTAGACATCCCGCGAGACGCGCGAAATTATGAAATGAATACGTGACAAAATACACGCTTCTAATGTCGAAGAAAAGATTCTATTTTGATGGCATATTCTCGGATTTATGATCAAATTTTGAATGGGGTTTATGTTTTTAAATAAAGAAATAAGTAATTTAGGCAATGTTGACGAATATTTCGATTGGAATAGTGTAAGTACTTAATTGTTTTAGACGATAGCACGTGCTAGAGTAGAATGCGATTATTTAGCGGATGGTGTCATTTGCTCGTTGTGGTAGAGCGACGTTTATTGCCCAAAAAATTTCGGGATATCATTTTCCTTCCCTCTGTACATAAGTCGTAACGGAGTATAAGATGAATGCCAGACTTCTGCTGAAAAATGTAGTGACTTACGACCCGAAAAATACGGTAATTTTGGAGGAATTTGAAACAGTACAGATCGGCAGTAGTCGGCACGCTTTCATTCTATCGTATTACGAATTTTGTTGGAATATTACTGACATAAATTTGAATACCGTACGGGAATTAAATATTAGAAATAACGAGGTGCACCTATTTTTTTTTATTACGGATGAATTTGAATATTTTGTTTACACATGATTTTTGTGTGTGGTCTAAAAACTGCCATCTTAAATAACGATAAGAGTTATGTTCCTTTATTTTCGCTAGAAATGTCCGACAAGAAAAATTTTGAAATCCCATCACTGTTTCAGATATCGATAAGTTTAACTACTTAAATTCCTATTTGGAGGGACCCGCAGCTGTAGCCGTTTCCGGATTAGCTTTGACTTCTCTTAATTATTCTGAAGCAGTTTCTATTTTGCAGAAACGATTTGGTAACCGCCAGCAGATTGTAAATCGCCATATGAACATTTTGATGAATGTGCACCTGGAACATGAATTGTCAGCAAGGGAGAGAACTCAAGATTATACAAGCTCAGCTACCAATGCAAGACCAGGCCAGTCCACAAACATGCACAAACCTCCGTATAATAACTATTCTACGTCTGCAGCTCTATTTACATTGTACAACCAACCAATCCCTACCAACCTCTACTTACTGTCATGGACAACATGCATCCAACTCCTGTAAGAATATTACTAATATTCAAGCCAGAAGGGATTTGTTGACAAAGATAGGGAGATGTTTTATCTGTTTAGTCTTAACTGTCTCTCTGGAAGAGTATGCGCCAAATGTTATCAACGTCAACACATTAGCATTTGTCCCAAGGTACAGGGAGAATACAGTACAAATGGATCCAACGAAGAACCAGTTCCATGGGAATCCATCAGAAATGGAACTCCAGGAAATGAATTTAAAGCCACCACAAGTATGTTAGCCAATCAGAATCAATCCAAGAGCCACCACCATATCCTATTACAAACAGCTAAGAGCTTTGGTAGCAAATCCACATTGCAAGAATAAACCCACCATGGCTTCTCGAATGCTATTTGATACTGAAAGCCAGCGGACTTACATAACCCAGATATTGCAAAGAGACCTGAACTTATCCGCTATAGATCACTCAGGAAATAGATGTTGTAGAAATTGTAGCCCTAACCAAAGGCGGACACCTCCAACCAGTGCTAGCCTTCGTTGTTCCACTGATCTGCCAACCCCTGAAATATTATGATGTAAACCAAATCAAATCTACAGACAGTTATTTGAATTTGTTAACCATAGCAGATTATCCAGAACCCAAATCCGGTGGTGCCATTCATATACTCATCGGTGCAGACCACTACTACGATTTTGTCACTGGACGAGTGGTACGGGGGGAGCCAGGCCCCACAGCAGTGGTCTTGAGACGTCTTTAAGGGTTGATCTTGTCTGGACCAACCTACACCACTGAGGAAGAACAATATCTACAGACAGTTATTTGAATTCGTTAACCTTAGCAGATTATCCAAAACCCAAATCTGGTGGTGTCATCACACCTGTCAACTCTACCGCATCACACGGTAGAGTGCCGCGAAAAGGCCTCATGTACCGCTCTACTGCGCGGTAATAGATTTCAACCGCATTTTCAAACAAAGAGTTTTTTTAATTTTCTCGCCAAAACTATGGAAATAAGGGAAGCAACTCTTTGCATGTTTTCTATAAAGATCGCAACTTTCGGTTATCAGCATCGACTTGGGATATTATAAGGTGTAATTTAGCTGAGAGATTTGTTTTTTAATTCTTTTCGATCTATTTTAGAGTAAATAAAGTAGATATAATTATTGGCACGTGTTCCAAATACTCTCAAAATGCGTAGAATAAAACTAAACAAATAGCGACCAATTCAAGGCAGCAAAATGCACAATGGCTGACATTTTCGTTTGCGCGCGTACGTACAGCATCTAATACAATACTTCGAATGCAACACAACCTGGAAATTTAATTTCAAGATGGGAATACGCCTCGCCGATTCTGAATTACATGAAACACTCTCTCGAATAAATGTATAAGCAGATTTATGGAATCACGGGAGAAAAAATCCCGTACATTGTGAGGATAATCGCCATGGGGGGCATGATTAAATCGATACCAATATTTAGTCGTTATGCAAAACTAATTTTTCACAGCCCCCCCCCCCCCCCATCTTATTCTAATGTAGAAATACTATAGAATCTAAAAAGCACACCAATTATCTTAGATGAAACAATATTGACAAAAACTCTCGGAATGGGGAACATGTCACAAGGATATTTTTAAAAATCATGCTAAGTTAAAACAAAACAAAAGTGGTACTGCCAGTTACTACTGGACTGGTAATTTTAATTATTTTTTACGTTACTAACTATTTCTTTCTGTAGGCTACATATTCAATTTTGGTTTAATTACATAAATAATTTTAGATATGGTACCATTGCTGGTGTATATTTTATCTATTACCCATTTAATGCAATTTTTGTATTGTTGGGCCTGCAGTTCAGTGTATCATTTCAAAATTAATTTCCCTTGGAAGTGCGAATTTACGCGTTTTTTGAAATCTACTGCCAAATCATGGTGTCTACTGCATTTTTTACACTACCCTACTGCATTTCAGCCCTGAGGGGTTGACGGGTCTGGGTGCCATTCATATAGTCATCGGTGCAGACTACTACTGGGATTTTGTCACTGGACGGGGGGAGCCAGGCCCCACAGCAGTGGAGACGTCTTTTGGGTTGATCTTGTCTGGACCAACCTACACCACTGAGGAAGAATAAAATAAAGACCACATATTCGTGACTGTACTCCACATAGGACTAGAAGAACAGCTAAAGCAATTATGGGATTTAGAAGCTATCGATGTTAAACAGACTTCCATTTATGATAAACTCACTCAAACCATAAACTTCAAAGATGGAAGATATGAAGTCAAACCTTTATGAGTGCCATTTATGTTGATGACGTTACCGCTGGAGCAGACAGTGAAGATGAAGCCTTTAAATTGTATAATCTGTCAAAATCAATTCTAGCACAAGGGGGATTTAACTTGAGAAAGTTCGAACCAATCACCCCACTCTCCAATTACAAATCGACAACAATGAAACCAATGGCGCCAACCCACAACAAACTACATGTTCATCACAGGAAGATGATAGGACCTTTGCCAAGACCACCTTGGGGACTTACCACAGAACTACACAATGTATACTTGGTGTTGAATGGAACTATTCCACAGATGAATTTATGTTCAACTTACAAGAAATAGCTCACCTAGCCCAAGTCATGGAACCTACCAAGCATAACATTGTTAGTGTTACATCAAAATTCTTTGATCCGTTGGGTTTTATTTCACCATTTATCATCAAATTCAAGATACTGTTCCAATAAAAAAAAACAAGTACGAACAATCCAAACCATTAGACAAAATTGGAAGTCCTAAAAAAAAAGGTATAGGCAAAATGGTGTAATCAGCAAATGGACTGTTCACTGTGTACAAAATACACGACAAACAGTGGTAACAGGTGTCTGGAAGAGTAAGCTTACCCTGCCTGGCGCCACACCCACCTTAGCTGCATCCAAACCATAAGACGAAATCTCGGTAAAATAGCGTGATTGGCCAATGGACTATCCGTATACAAAATGCATGTGATGAACTGTGTTAACGATGTAGTAGGCATAATCAGGGAGATAGTATACGAGTAAATTAAATTGATCTAGAATAATAGCCGAAAGAGACACGTTATATTTACCAATTGAGTCAATATGACGGCCATAAACTTTTTAAAGGTTTTTGTAAGTTTAGTGGGCAAGTATCCCTGTAGTTAAAGCTTACATGACAAAT